CTGCTACTGCTGATGTTCCTGGAGGGCCAAAGGTCTCTTAAGTTAGCTTGTCATGAATGCTGCCTCTTCAGGGCAGTGGGCTCCCCTCTAGCCCAGGACAGGTCCAGAAATGCTATCGAAGAGTCAAGTTCTAGAATCAGGGGCCCCAAGAGCCTGCTTGGTGCTGTGTCCCTCTGTGGCCATTCTGGTGCCTAAGGTGCAAGACAAGGTCCCCTTACTTTTCCCTCTGCTTTTCTCAAGCGGAAGGAGTTTTCCTCTGTAGCCACCACAACTGGTTATGTGCTGAGTCTCACCTGAAGCCAGCAAGTGTCAGGCTCACCAAAGGCCCTTGATGTAGTACCTGGGTATCACTGCTGGTTATTCAGGGTCCAAGGGCTCTTCAATGAACAGGTAATGAATGCTGGCAGGACTGGGCCCTTCCCTTCAAGGCAGCAGGTTCCCTTCTGGCCCAAGGTGTGTCTAGAAATGTCTGGGAGCTAGGCCCTGGAACAGGGGCCTCCTGATTCTGACCAGTGCCCTGTCCTACTGTGGCTGGACTGGTATCTGAGATGTAAGACACAGTCCCGTGGCCGAGCGCGGTGGCTCAAGCCTGTAATCCCAGCACTTTGGGAGGCCGAGACGGGCGGATCACGAGGTCAGAACATCGAGACCATCCTGGCTAACACGGTGAAACCCTATCTCTACTAAAACTACAAAAAAAACTAGCCGGGCGAGGTAGCGGGCGCCTGTAGTCCCAGCTACTTGGGAGGCTGAGGCAGGAGAATGGCGTGAACCCGGGAGGCGGAGCTTGCAGTGAGCTGAGATCCGGCCACTGCACTCCAGCCTGGGCGACAGAGCAAGACGCTGTCTCAAAAAAAAAAAAAAAAAAAAAGACACAGTCCCCCCTGATACTGTCTCCTCCCTCAAGTGGAAGGGGTCTCTTTGGGAGCTGAGAGCTGTGCAGCCTGGGGTTAAGGGAGGGATGATGCCATATGTCACCACCCCTCCCTGCCCCCTGTCAGTTCACTGTCTCTGGGCCTAATTCAGCACTAGGACTCACCTAAGAGTTGCAGTCCTTATGGGCTAGACTGCCTTTCAACTTGACTTGGAGAGAGAGAGTGCTGCAGCCCTCAGTGATGAGGTTTGCGGGCACTTAAGTTCAGACCACTGGGATCAGCAATTCCTCCCTGGCTAAGGCTGGTTGAAATGTCCCCTCCATGGGCAGGTATCAGCTGAATTTGGTCTGGTTTTCCTTTCTGCTGTAACAGGACAGCACTGAGTTCAGTGCCTCACAATTGCTGTATCTCCCTCCCACAGCACCTAGAGATGCTGTGTGCATGATGCTGCCTGCTGCTGGGGTGGGAGAGGGGTCTGTTGGCGATTCAGGACTGTTTTTAAACCGCTTCAGTGCCTCTTTCAGCGATATGAAGTTAAAACCAGGTACTGTAAGTGCTTACCTGATTTGTGGTTCTTATGAAGGTGTTTTTTTCTGTGTGATAGTTGTTAATTTGGTGTCCTTGCAGGGGGATGATCAGGGGAGCTTTCTATTCCGCCATCTAGCTCTGCTCCCTCGCTATAGTTTAAAATATTTGAGGTATGTTAGGGAAGGTCTCATCTTGTTTTTCAGAAAGCGAAACTGTTTTTGTTCATTATTCCTATAACATTTACACACCTCAGAATGGCTAAACTCCAAAATATAGCACCAAATGCTTCCAAAGATACAAACAAAGGAACATTCATTTCTGTGGTAATTCAAATGACAGAGATTGCAGTGAGCCGAGATCACGTCACTGCACTCCAGCCTGGGTGACAGAGCAAGACGCTGTCTCAAAAAAAAAAAAAAAAATCACAAAGTGATCTCATTTCACACAAACTAGATAGGTAGAAATACATTATTCCACATGACTGGCAGCATTGGAATTCTCTAAATACACATGCAAGAATGGTGGGAGGGTCAATTCATAAACTCCATTGGGACTTGCTGGCAGTCTTAAAGTTGCTCAGAATCTACAACCCAGCACGGTTTTTTTAATGTATAGAGAATTTACTGTGCACAGGCACATGGGGACTTAAAATATGATTAGAGCAGCATTTTCCATAAGAACAAAACACAAAATTGAAGCATCGTGAGTCCTATAGATACTGGAATGGATGAGCAAATTGGGTAGCCCAAGCCTCAGACACCAGCATGTGTGAAACAACTGGGGCAAAAACTAAGGAGACACCTACCCATTATTTCCTTCCACAGAACGTGCAAAAGAGGCAAACTTAAGCAAAACACTGCTTGGTGATAAAAAATAATGGTATAGCCATAAAGAATATCCACAAAATTATGGGCAGTGGTCACCTCTGGGGACAAGAGGGAAACAAAGTCAAGGTGAAGCAGCACTGGGAGATATGACATGCCCAGGGTCTGTTCATTCTGAGTGCCCAGTATATAGAATTTTAGTTATGATTAAACATAAAACATCCTATGCATTCTATAATAAGTATGCTGTATTTCACTACGAAAATATAATTCAGCTGGGGTGGTGGCTCACACCTGTAATCCCAGTACTTTGGGAGGCCAAAGCAGGAGGATCATTTGAGGCCAGGAGTTCAAGACCAGTCTGGGCAACATAGTGAGACCCCCATCTCTACCAAAAAAATAAAGTAATTCTTTAAGCATGAAAAACAACTTTCAAATATTTATTTTGCTATGTTTTCTAACTACCTTCCCAGTTCTCATTGTTCACTGCCTTAGTTCAGGACACATTTATAAGTCTTTTAGACTGTACCTATTGCTATTCACCTTGATTTCAGCAAGAAATGACTAGTAAAAGAGTGGGAACATACTCATGTTTAATAGAGAACTGGCTACATAAACCTCCATCTTTTAAAAAAATGTATTTATTAAAAAAATTTTTGTGGGGAGACAGGGTCTCACTCTGTTGCCCACGCTGGAAGTATAGTGGCACACAGTTCACTGCAGCCTTGAAATCCTGGGTTCAAGTGGTCTTTCCACCTCAGCCTCCCAGGTCGCTGGGACTGCAGGCATGTGAGCCACCACAACTGGCTCAACTTCTATCATCTTGTGAACCTTTATAAAAATTAGGGAAGGCACCAGTGGATATGAAAAAAGCTGCAGGATTTATTTTCAAATGAACAAAAAAGCAAAGTGTGTAAACCATGTTGCCTTTTACAGTGAGGAAAGAAAAATATGTAGTTTAAATTACTTTTTATGTAAATGCTGAACAAAGTAATAAAATTGTTACCTTTGGGAACCTGAGGCCACTAGGCAGGAATGCTAGAGGACATGCTAAGAGTGAGCCTTCAGGTAGACTGCTTCTAAATCTCAGGCTGGGTTTTGGGTGGGTGGGTGTGTGTGTGTTTACACACAGGGTTTTTTGTTTTTGTTTTTGTTTTTCTGTAGAGACAAGGTCTTGCCATGTTTCCCAGGTTGGTCTTGAACTGGCCTCAAGTGATCCTTTGGCCTGAGCCTCCCAAACAGATATGAGTCACTGTGCCCAGCCTCAGGCTGAATTTTTGAATCTTAACATTGACTATAAACAATGATTAAGAAAATCTGCATTAACTATATTTTAATAGTTCATAAATCAGATGACTAATTTTTAACAGGAAACCAGTTCTCTGTGTTATAGTCCTCTAAAGAAGTTTTATGAAATGAGCAGTATGTTTTTGCAAACCATAAGAAATCGTTAGGCACATAAAGATGGGAGCAATGGACACTGGGGACTGCTGGAAGGGGGAGGGATGGTGGAGAGTGAGGGCTGAGGGACTGCCTGTTGGGTGCTGTGCTCACTGCCAGGATGACAGGCTCATCCATAGCCCAAACCTCAGTGTCACAGTGTTCCCATGTGACAGACCTGCACATGTACCCACTGAATCTAAAATAAAAGTTGAAATTATTAAGAAGGTAAATAAATAGAAATGTATATTTTTTGTGATATGATTCCTGATGTTCGTGAGATGTGGGTTTGTGTATTCTATCCCAGGAATCTTTAAAAAATAAACATTAACAAAACATTTTTTTATCACTTGAGCTCAGTAGTTCAAGACCAGCCAGGGCAACATAGCAAAACCCCATCTCTACAAAAATTTTAAAAATTAGCCAGGCGTGGTGGCATGTGCCTGTAGTCCCAGCTACTTGGGAGGCTGAGGTGGGTAGACGGCTTAAAGCCTGTGAGGCAGAGGTTGCAGTGAGCTGAGATCATGCTACTGCACTCCAGCTTGGGCAACAGAGTGAGACATGTCTCAAAAAAAAAAAGAAATGAAAAAATTAATTTTAAACATGTGGTTCTTAAATAAAATTGTAAGTGATATTACAGGCTGTACTGCCATCACATCAAACTGCAGGGCATTTTTTGATATGGACAGAATCTTAAGGCATTAGGATGGCGTAACAGTATGAGGAGCTTCACTAACCCACTCCCCAGAGAAACTTGTGACAGTTACTTTAAAACAACCATTTAAAGCCCCTGGAAGTCATCCTAAAGGCAGACAGCCAGTGAGGAAAACTATTCAAGAGAATCTATGAAAATTCTTTGAGAAATATGAATCTATGGTATTTAAACCCTTACTGTTTTCTGATCCTGCACCCCACATCCTCACCCCAGTGAGGTGAACACTCCATTCTAGACTGTGTAGCCAAGGATACAAGGTTCTCTGTTTCCCCAGTGTAAGAGTTAAAGAGGAAAGAGGCTGGGCGTGGTGGCTCACACCTGTAATCCTAGCACTTTGGGAGGATGAGGCAGGCGGACTGCCTTAGCTCAGGAGATTGAGACCAGCCTGGGCAACACGGTGATACCCTGTTTCTACAAAAATACAAAAAATTAGCCAGGCATGGCAGTGTGCGCCTGTAATCCCAGCTACTCAGAAAGCTGAGACAGGAGAATCACTTGAACCCGGGAGGTGGAGGTTGCAGTGAGCTGAGATCGCACCACTGCACTCCAGCTTGGGCAACAAAGTGAGACTCTGTCTTTAAAAAAACAAAAAAGGAGGAAAGAAACACCAAACACTGCTTGATAGTCAAAGACAGGTTTATTATAGAAAAGACCTGAGAGAGGCTTCTGGCTGATTTCAGTCAGGAGCACTTTTCCTAGCAGACTAAGAGCATATATTGGTTTTAGGGTGAGGGAGCTTATTACAAGCTTAGAATGTTTCTGTGTGAGGAAGAAGAATGTTTCTGTGTGAGGGAGAAGTTTATGGTGGGGTTGGAATGTTCTGGGCAGAGGGGCAGTTATCTTGGGGGTGACATCTTTCTGGCAGGACAGGGGTTATCCCGAGGTTGCATGTCTCTGTGGGAGGTGTCTGGAATGTTTTTGGTTGGAGATGTTATGTGTGGTTTATGGTCATGCTGACCTTAGCCATTAGGCTGATGCCCTTTGGATTTAGGCAGTTTTTGATTAAGGTGAATTTTAAAATGAGGTGCTTATCCATGATGGTGATGCTCCTGCCATCAATCCAGACCTTACAGTTATAAAAAGGATGAGGGGCGGCATGTTCTTTCTGGCTACTTCCTGCTGATGAGGGGACGGAGAGTTCCCTGGTTTCGGGTTGACTATAGGAGCAGTGCTGTCTGTAGATGTTTTTGGGTAGTTGTCTGTGAAATGGCCATGATCCTGTCAGTTTAAAAAATCTTTGAAAAAGCTTAATTAGGCAGGGTAAGAACAGTAGTCCCATAATTAGGCATATTATTAGGAGAGGGCCCAGGAATGGGATGACCCATGCTATGATTTTGTTCCCAAACTAAGAATCTATTTGCTTGTTTTGGTACTCCTTAGCTTTTTTAGCTTTTTCTGTAACTTTTTTTTTATAGCGCTTTTTACTAGGTCCGATTGGCTGATATAGAAACAACATTCCTTACCTAATGAGAGCAGAGGTGCTGGTTTGGAAAGGCCCATTTGTTATTTTCTGCTAGTAACCATTATTCCTGCTATGAGGATAATAATTAAGCAAAATGCTATAGTAATTGAGATTCTGTGTCTGATATTTTACCCTGAGGGTGCTACAGTATATAGTCCTACTGCAAATAGTAGAGTGAGTAAAGCAATTCCCACAAGGGTGGCACAGTAAATAATTTTCATTAAAAAGTTAATATTTGACTTAAAAACAGAGGTAGGGATGATAAAAGTATTTGATGAGGTAGGGGTGAGACTGAATAGGATGAGTAATTCTCCCTTGGTTACTTATTTTTTTATGATTTTTAGCTTAAGATTTCCTATTTATTTCCTCCTGTGAGAGTCAGGGGGCTTAGAGGCAGAGCCTGCTGAAACATCAAGTTTTCAGTTTATAGGGCTTTTAGAAAGCACAGCTGTTTTGGAAACTTGTAGCCAGAAAAATTAGAATTTAATTTAAATAGAAAATAGCAAGATTTGAAAAACATTGGGCAACACTAGAATTTAACAACAGGTGTGCTATCGTTTTTGAAGCATAATTTTCTCTCTCAAGTTTACTATTTTCATTAAAAGACAAATCATGCTAGTAGGACTGAGTTTCTTTATTATACTTGGCTTAGTTATTTGCATACAGTGGAGCAAGAATAATTATGTTACATAGGCCCTTTAAATTGGTTTTGATGGAACTTTGTTTCGTAGAAGGAATCTGAGATAAGACCTTTTTAAAGGCAAGCCCAGCCATGGATTTGTACCATTGAATACCTATGAGTTGGGTGAATTCCTCTCCTCTTGAGGTTCCAAGATAACTTGGGACTCCTGGCCTGTCAAAATGTGACATTCTTTACTTACCACAGATCAGAAACCCTGTACAGGGACTGTGTACACAAAATCTGAGGCCAGCTTTCCAAGGGCTTTATTGGCTCCATAAGTCAAATTTGATTGCTCGAAGGAAGGCACACCATTCCAGGCAAAGCCTTGGTAAAATAACCAGTTTTTCCAATTGTGTCCTGTTACAAAAGAAAACAGATTCTTGGTTGCACTTATGCAGATAACTATACTACCATAACTTACGAATACTTACAGACAGTTCCCAAATTCTGGAGAAAATCAGGTAGAGAGAAACAAGTATGCTCCAAATTTTGTTCATGGACGCATACTAAATTGTTAAAAGCTGTCAATAGCTCAAAAGAAAATATTCTTGGACTTTGAAAAGCAAAACAAAGGATTAGCAATATTTTAAGCAATACGTTAAAAAGATCACTCCAGGCTGGATGTGGTGACTCATGCCTGTAATCCCTGTACAGGCTTATGCCTGTAAACTCCCAGCACTTTGGGAGACCGAGGTGGGTGGATCACCTGAGGTCAGGAGTTCAAGACCAGCTGGGTGGGTAACATGGTGAACCCCCATCTCTACTAAAAGTACAAAAATTAGCCAGGCGTGGTGGCATGCACCTGTAATCCCAGCTACTTGGGAGGCTGAGACAGGAGAATTGCTTGAACCCAGGAGGAGGCTGCAGTGAGCCGAGATCACGCCGCTGCATTCCAGCCTGGGCTACAGAACAAGACTCTGTCTTAAAAAAAAAAAAAATCACTCCAGTCTCCTATAGTTTAGTTCATGCAGTTAATTCCTGTCCTGATTGATATTAACATTTTAGTTTTTTAAGGTTCTGAACGTTTTCCTCTAGTCTGATATAACAATTTTCAAAGTTATCAGAAACCTGCATTCAAGGGCACCTGTTAGACCTTTATAGCTGAATTGTTTATGGATGACAAAAAGTTTTAGGATTAGGCTGGGCGTGGTGGCTCACGCCTGTAATCCCAGCACTTTTGGAGGCCAAGGCTGGCAGATCACCTGAGGTCAAGAGTTTCAGACCAGCCTGGCCAACATGGTGAAACTCTGTGTCTCCTAAAAATACAACAATTAGCCAGGTGTGGTGGTGTGCACGTGTAATCCCAGCTACTCTGGAGGCTGAGGCAGGAGAATCGCTTGAACCCAGGAGGCGGAGGTTGCAGTGAGCCGAGATCATGCCATTGCACTCCAGCCTGGGCAACAAGTGTGAAAATCTATCTCAGAAAAAAAGTTTTAGAATAACCATAAAGACGCAGTTGACAAGGATATCTGTTACCTCTGTGGCACACAATAATTTTAGTATAACAATTAGAATTATTACTTGTAAGGTACACTAAGATATGTCAGAATTGTAGGAGTCTCCCATAACTTGGGAACACATACCAATAACATTTATACAAATATAGCCCAAAGAAAACGAAACACCATTTTGTATTTGACAATGCTTCCTGTATGATTTTATACCAAATACACCAAATTTTACCTTTATATTAGTGCACTATTAATATTAAACTCCATTTTTAATAAAACCTTGTAGATGCATTTACTCAATTTTAATGTTTGACCATAAGGTAAGATTTTTATAGACCCTTTTTAACCCTTTATATTTTGTTAAAGAGCAGGTTAGTGCTTTAAGATAAACCCATTGTGCTTTTATTTTAATGCTCAATTTACAGAAAAACTGGATGCTACCCCTTCAACTTTAGCCAATATGTTTACACAGAATTTCCTTTACAATTAACCTTCCAAAACTTGCTTAAACCTTCAAAACAATTCTTTAACTTTTTAATGTAGGTAAAAATCCACAATCTCATGCCTTCTTATAATCTTTTTACTAAAAGTATATTTTACTTTCCTTACACACTTTCCACATAATTAACTTTTAGCAAACTTTTGTTGAACACCTTGGTAAGTTTGGGATTTTAATTATGTACTAGGTGTAGAGCCTAGGACCTACACAGAAGTGCAGATAAGGTCTGTGTTAGTCCAGCATTAATTCTGTGTGTCCTAAGTTTTACCTAGCTGTAAACCAGGCAAGTTGTACAGGTAAGAGTTATAGGGGCATTTTATAAAGCAGTCAGGAGGCCTAATCACTTTTAAATTGTATATTTCTTGCATAAATTCCATTTATAAAATTTTTCTTGCCTTTCACAGACAATCTTACATGCCTCAACTTTCTGACTTGTTGGAAACATCCCTCTCTTTAAACAACCAGTTAATTTACTTTAGGACAAAAATTTACCATGTAACATTTTAAAATATAAATTCCTTTAATATCAAAGATAACAGTCCTTTCCCAAAACAAACTTCCTTCACGCCTATGGACTAGACTGCCTAAGGCCATAAGAGTAGAAGTTAGGATATTAAATGGCTTAGGATGTAGGATTTTCGTTAAATGAAAATCTTAGGATGTACACTGTGCCCAGCCAGGAAGAAAGATTTTATGAGAGGTGCAAGCTTGACACAGGGAGAGATAGGATTTAAGGTAGAAGCAGAAGAAAGTGTGAATACAGAAAAACCTCTTGCCATTTGCTGTTCCTGGTTATAAAGTTGTTAAGGTTCCTGAGAATTTGGAAGTTAAAGGTGCCATTTCGGGCCGTCAGTTGTCATTATCTAATGTGTATTGGGGCCAGGCCATGTTACAATAAAAGACTAAGCCAAGTTTGGTGAGGTCGGGAAGGAGACAGCATAGGGGAGAGGGTGTGGGAACATGGGATTGTTTGGCACCCATGTGGACTGGCAAGAAGCCGCCGAGGGTGTCTGTTTTTGTTCTAGGCGTCCCCAGACAAAAGACAGAGACCCAGAGTCCTCTTTCTAAAGAGGATGGTCAAGCTGAGAAGAAACTGGGCATCCCCAAGATTTCCTCTGGCTTAGTCCCACTGGTCCTCTGAGGACCAAGACAGCAGACCTGACTTTTTCTGGGTACCGTGAGAAAGCCAAGGGAGGGCAGCTCTTACCAGTCAGCTGGATTAGTGTCTCATGTTGATGTTCCAGTTGGCCTCTTGGACTGCAGCTGCACAAGGGAGAGAGAGAGAGAAAAGGGAGGATGAGAGAAAAGCGAACAAAGAAAAGATGGAGTGGTGGCCAGAGACCTTCAGGATCCAGGAATTAACTCAGGACGAGCTGCCATTGCCCACTGCTTCCTGGATTGCAAGAGAGCCTCTGTCCCCAGCACCCATCCTGGGTTTCGGCACCAAATGTAAGAGTCAGAGGAAAGAAACACGAAATGCGGCTTGACTGTCAAAGACAGGTTTATTTTAGAAAAAACCTGAGGGGCTTCTGGGTGATTTCTGTCAGAAGTGCTTTGTCTTACAGACTGAGTGTATATTGGTTTTAGGGTGAGGGGGCTTATTACAAGCTTGGAATGTTTCCATGTGGGGGAGAAATTTATGGCGGGGTTGGAATGTCTCTGGGCAGAGGGGGTTATCTTGGGGCTAGCATGTCTCTGGTCAGGGAAGAGTTTGGAATGTTTCTGGTTGGAGATAGCCATTAGGCTGATGCCCTTTGGATTTAGGCAGTTTTTGATTAAGGCGACTTTTAAAATGAGATGCTTGTCTATGATGTTGATGCTTCTGCTCAGTCACCCAGCCTCTAGTCAGAAAGCTTTTTTCTAGGAAGGGCAGAACTTCAACTTTTCTCATCTTACCTCCACCTACCCATTACTGAGATTACATCCTGTGTGTGTATGTTTGAAAAGTGGGGACATGGTTTGTGAGCATGGTGCGCTCAGACTGCTAGGACACTGACCAACTTTGCCTCAGCTTGTAGAGGTGGTGGATCCATACCAGGACACAGGCCAAGAGGACATCAGGCTGCTGTCCCTCCCCACCACTGAACACTCAGTTCCCAAAAAGAGAGGATTATTCAGAAAGCAGCTTGCCAGTGTTCCTACCCAAGCTTCAGAGCCCTGTCATATTTTGCCTGGAGGTAGAAGAGAAGCAAGCTATGAAACAGCTCCTAACCTCTTCCCTAAGAATTAACTTCAATTGCAACAGATCATGAGACACTTAAGCCAAAGGGCACTCCATCCTTGATGCAGTGGAAATGGAGGTGAAAAACAATTCACAGGAAATTCGTGGATTTACTGAAGATACTGCCTGCACTGTAGGCCAGCTAATTTGTGGAGAAAACCAGGAAAAAACACTGTTAGGGAGGAGTCCGTGAAGCATATAAACAAACAACTATTAAATGCTGATCTCAGACAGTATTCTTAGAAAGGAGAGAAAACATACTTGGATTTACAGGGCAAATTTGTCCCTGGACTTTTTTGAGAACAATAGAGCCATCAACCAGCAGTTAGTACAGTTTAACATCTGAGGGCTGTCCAAGAGAGGAAGAGATTCCGGAATCACCATACCATTGTCATCCCAGGATGACTGCAGGCAGAAACAAAGCTGAGCCACTTCCCCTTCCCTCAAGAGCAATATCAGAGGCTTAAAGTTATGAGGAAGAAATTGACAGAGCAGGAACATTGCCATCGTGGGCAAGCACCTCATTTTAAAATTCACCTTAATCGAAAGCTGCCTAAATCCAAAGGGTATCAGCTTAATGGCTAAGGTCAGCATGACCATAAACCACAAATAAAATCTCTGACCAAATACATTCCAGACTCCTCCCTGACCAGAGACATGCACCAAGATAACCCCTACTCTGGCTAGGAAGATGCCAGCCCCGAGAAATCCCCCTCCAGCCAGAAAGATGTCTGCCCCCAAATAACCTCCCCTCCGCCCAGAGACATTCCAAGCTTGTAATAAACCCCCTCACCCTAAAACCAATATGTACTCTTAGTCTGTAAGAAAAAGTGCTCCTGACCAAAATTGGCCAGAAGCCCCTCTCAGGTTATTTCTAAAATAAACCTATTTTTAACCATCAAGCTGTGTTTCTTTCCTCTTTAACTATTACAGAAATAGACTTCACCAAAATAGTCCAATCGGTCACTAAACAAAATAAAGCAAATAACAATAACAAGGCCTGGAGAAATTGAACGTACTCTGAGAAGGTTCAGTATGTTATAAAAAATGTCCAATTTGCAACAAGTACAGCCCATACATCAGAAAAAAAAAAGAAAGAAAAGCTGACAATAGAAACTGCCTGTGAGAACAGATAGCAGATTTAATAGAAAAATACTTCAAAGTGTACATTATAAATATGTTCACAGAACCAAAGAAGAGCATGACTTAAACACATTGAGATTTGGAATCTAGCTGAAGGTTTCTCCACAACAACTACCCTACTTTCACAATTTTTCTAATATAATGACTTCTGTAAAAAATGACAAACCTGGCCACGTGCAGTGGCTCACACCTGTAATCCCAGCACTTTGGGAGGCCGAGGTGGGTGGATCATGAGGTCAGGAGTTTGAGACCAGCCTGACCAACATGGTAAAACCCTGTCTCTACTAAAAATACAAAAATTAGCCGGGCGTGGTGGTGCGTGCCTGTAATCCCAGCTACTTAGGAGGCTGAGGCAGGAGAATCGCTTGAACCCAGAAGGCGGAGGTTACAGTGAGCTGAGATGGTGCCACTGCACTCCAGCCTGGGTGACAGAGTGAGACTCGGTCTTAAAAAAAAAAAAAATGACAAGCCCATTATTAGTGGTTCATTAATTAGACTTATATTCATTAATAGGTTTTGGACATACATTGCTACCAGTATCACAGAAGGTGCAGGTTTTCTGCCATGTATGAATTGTTTGAAAGTAAATGCACTGATTACTCTGCAACAAGGCTCCCCCATAGCTATTATAAAAATAATAATATCCATGTATGAAGTTTCTTAGTTCTGTTTCCAAGTGTTTTATAAATACCTCAACATCTATGTTACATTAAGTATATATTTTTGTTGAAAATTTTGTTTTAAAAACTGGTAACATGCAAAGATACCCTCAAGGGACTTTTTTTTTCCTCTTTTGAGTGCAAATCACCTTAGATTTCTCCCAGAGTTTTTCTGTTGATCTTTAATGTTCTGGTTTTCCCATTTGTTTCCTAAAATGACCAAGAAAACTCATTATCATTTAGAAAGTATGGAAGAATTACTGGATTGTAGGTTCACTGTGCACTGTAGCCATGCTTGATCAATTCAACAAAATACCCCTTTCCACATTCCAAATTTTGGAATAGCACTGATGGCCAAGAAACACTTGTTCTCTAATTGACTAAAGGAAAAAATATTATCCTTACCTATAGAAGACAGGTGCTGATGGCTTCCCTCATCACATCTCTACAGATTCTTCATGGAAAAATCCAGCAAAGCCCACTCCTCCTGGATGAAGTTCACAGCCACATCTTCAAAGAGCCGTGACATATCCCAGATATGTGTAGAGGAGGACAGGTGAGACGGACAGCACTGGGGATCTAGACTCAGTTCATGAGAGTTCACACTGAAGTGGTGTCACTGTCTCACGGCCATGGAAAACTAGGGCATGGACCACACAAAGAGTGAGGTTCTGAGCAGAAGTTTAATAGGTGAAAGAGATGAGCTCTCTCTGCTGCAGAGAGAAGGGTCCCAGAGAAGTGGGTTACTGCTTCCACAGTGAAATGCAGACAGTTTTATAGATGAGCTTGAGGAGGCAGTGTCTGATTTACATAGGGCACAAAAGATTGATTGGGGCTGGGTGTGGTGGCTCATGCCTGTAATCCCAGCACTTTGGGAAGCCAAGGCAGGCGGATCACGAGGTCAGGAGATCAAGACCATCCTGGCTAGCACAATGAAACCCTGTCTCTACTAAAACTACAAAAAATTAGCCGGGCATGGTGGCAGGTGCCTGTAGTCCCAGCTGCTCCAGAGGCTGAGGCAGGAGAATGGCGTGAACCCAGGAGGTGGAGCTTGAGTGAGCCGACATCCTGCCACTGCACTCCAGCCTGGCAACACAGCAAGACTCCATCTCAAAAAAAAAAATAAATAAAAATAAGAATAAAAATTAAAAAAAGAGTAAACAATGAAGGAACAGAGTGATAAATTTAAATAAATTAAAATTAGAAAGGTAAAAGACTAACAACAAAGTAGGAGAAAAATACCTGCAGTACATGCAATATAAAAGGATTAATTTGTAGAGTAAAAACAAACACAAGATTAAAACATGGGAAAATAAAGAAAATACTTAACTGAAAATGAAAGACCATGTATGAAAAAATATCCATTTCCATAGTAATGAGGAAATAGCCAAATAAAATGTCAACTAGATGACATTTCTCATTGATTAGAAGGACGAAAATTAGTCAATTTGAGAATCCTAAGTGGCAATGACCATAGAAAATAAATAGGTATGCATGAATGAAGGAGTGGGGTTCAATAGATACATTCCATTGCTATTTCATGTAATTTGAACTTTACCATAATCTACAGCCCAGTAATTTTTCTCTAGGTAGTTTATTGTGCATTTGTGCTTAAAGACTATCGGAGCAATATTTTTCCCAAGAGCAAACAAAAACCCTGAAGAAGCTCAAGCACCATAACTATTGGAATGGATGAGGGAATTGGATGGCACACAGCCTTAAACACTAGCATGTACGAAATGTACTGAGGCAAGGAAAACAGCAATAAGCCTTTTCATTTTAATGAAATAAGGCCCATCCATCCATCAAGCAATAATCTCTCTAGCTATCAATTTATTATTTATTTTTATTTATTATTCATTTGTTTGGAGATGAGGTCGGCTATGCTTCTCAGGCTGGTCTAAAACTCCTGGCCTCAAGTGATCCTCCTGCCCCTGCCTTCCGAAGCACCCTGCCACTATTTTGCAATATGCCCAGAGAATTCTATTCTTAACAAGACCTACCTTCAAAAGAAACTATTTCTCAAAAACCGAATTGAGATTTTACCACAGGCAAACCTCTTGGGGTAAAGGAAATACCTAATTCCATCCCCCTCTTTTTTGCCTCAACTAAGCAGAAGTGAGGGAGAAATACTTTAAAGCGTCACAACACAGGGACACAGGCTTCCTACAAATGAGGTCAAATCATAGGTCCATGAAATGCTTCCCATAGTCCCACACCTGATCACCACATCCATAGCAGCAGAATATATACCATAATAACAGCAGAACACAACTGAAAAAATTATGCCTCAGACCTTTTACTTAAAGAAGTCTAAGGGTACAGAAATAAGTTGGGTAACACTGATGAAGTGGACAGATGTCTACAAACACAATGTATATAGACTGTCATGAAGAAACAGAAAATCTGAACAGATCTTCACTTCTAGGAGACTGTTGTAGTAATAAACAAAAACAAAACAAAAACCAGTAAAAACCTAAGACCAAAGAGTTTTACTGCTAAAATCTACCAAAGTTTAAAATATTAATATCCATCTTCCCCAAACTTAAAAAAACTAAGAGAACACTTCCAAACTCATTTTATGAGGCCCAAATTACACTAACACCAAAGAAAAGACACTACAAGAATGAAAGCTGCAGATAAGTGTCCTTTGTGAATATGATACAAAAATTCTCAAATACTAGCAAACCATATTCAGCAGCATATTAAAAGATTACACACCATGACCAAGTGAGATTTATCTCTAAAATGCAAGGATGGTTCAACACATAAAAATAGTGGCCAGGCACGGTGGCTCACACCTGTAATCCCAGCACTTTGGGAGGCTGAGGCCGGTGGATCACAAGGTCAGGAGATTGAGACCATCCTGGCTAACACAGTGAAACCCCGTCTCTACTAAAAATACAAAAAATTAGCCGAGTGTGGTGGTGGGCACCTGTAGTCCCAGCTACTTGGGAGGATGAGGCAGGAGAATAGCATGAACCCGGGAGGTGGAGCTTGCAGTGAGCTGAGATCACGCCACTGCACTCCAGCCCAGACAGAGCAAGACTCTGTCTCAAAAAAAAAAAAAAATACAGCACAACCATCTCAATGTAGATGTAGAAAAAGCATTTGACAAAATACAAAACCCATTCATGATAAAAACACAGAACTTGAGCTAGAAAGAAACTACCTCGATATAATACAAGCCATACATTAAAAAGCCACAGAAACATTATAGTCAGTGGTGAAATACAAAAACCTTTTTCACTAAGATCAAGAACAAAACAGGATACCTGCTTTCACCACTTGCCTCAATGCACTATTGGAAGTCCTACCCAGAATGATCAAGCAAGAAAAAGAAATGCATCCAAACCGAAAAGGAAAAAATAAAATTATCTCTGTCCACAGATGAAACAATCTTATAGGTAGAAAATCCTAAAGATTGTGCATATGCACACACACATAGAACACCCCAAAATGGTTGGAACTAACAAATTCCGCAAAGTTGCAGGATACCAAATCAACATGAAAAAGTCAGTTTCAACTGGGTGTGGTGGCATGAGCCTGTAGTCCAAGCTGCTTTGCAGACTAAGTCAGGAGGATCACTTGAGCCCAGGAGTTCAAGGCTGTAGTACACTATAATTGCTCCTGTGAATAGCCACTGCACTCCAGCCTGGACAACATAGTGAGACCCCATCCCTTAAAGAAAAATCATTTATACATACTTCTGATTTATACATACTAACAACATATAATCTGAGAAGGAAATTAGGAAACAATACCATGAACAATAACAAAGGCAGCAAAAGACTTGTACACTGAAAACTATAAAATGTTGCTGAAAGAAATTAAAGATATAAATGAATAGAAAGACATCTCATTCATAGATTTTAAGATTTAATATTAAGATATCAATACTACTGAAGATGGTCTAGAAAGTCAATGCAATTCCTATCCAAATACCAATGACCTTTTTTTTTTTTTGGAGACACAGTCTCACTCCACTCTATCCCCCAGGCTGGAGTGCAGTGGTGTGATCTCAGCTCACTGCAATTTCCACCTCCTGGGTTCAAGCAATTCTCAAGTCTCAGCCTCCCAAGTATCTGGGACTATAGGTGCATGCCACCATGCCTGGCTTTTTTATTTTAGTAGAGATGAGGTTTCACCATATTGGCCAGGCTGGTCTTGAACTCCTGACCTCAGGTGATTCACCTGCCTTGGCCTCCCAAAGTGCTGGGATTACAGGTGTGAGCCACCGCGCCTGGCACCAATGAATTTTTTAAAAAAACAAATAGAAATGCCCATCCTAAAATTAATAGGGATTCTCTAGGAACCCCAAATAGACAAAACAATTGATGAAGAAGAACAAGCCAGGTGCAGTGGCTCATGCCTGTAATCCCAGCACTTTGGGAGGCCAAGGCAGGCAGATCACTTGAGGTCAGGAGTTTGAGACCAGCCTGGTCAACATGGTGAAACTCTGTCTCTACTAAAAACATTTTTAAAAATCAGCTGAGCCGGGTGCGGTGGCTCATGCCTGTAATCCCAGCACTTTGGGAGGCCGAGGTGGGCAGATCATGAGGTCAAGAGATTGAGACTATCCTGGCCGACATGGTGAAACCCCGTCTCTATTAAAAATACAAAAATTAGCTGGGTGTGGTGACACACGCCTGTACTTGGGAGGCTGAGGCAGGAGATCGCTTGAGTCCGGGAGGTGGAAGTTGCAGTAAGCCAAGATCGCGCCACTGCACTCCAGCCTGGCGACAGAGTGAGACACTATCTAAAAAAAATTAGCCAGGCATGGTGGTGTATGCCTGTAGTCCTAGGTACTCAGGAGGCTGAGGCAGGAGAATTGCTTGAACCCAGGAGGTGTGGGTTGCAGTGAGCCAGGATTGCACCACTGCACCCCAGCCTGGGTGACAAAGCGAGACTCCATCTCAAAAAAAAAAAACAAAAAAGAACAAATTTGAAAGTCTCACTCTTCTTTTTTAAACTTAAATATACAATAGATAAAACACTGTAGTACTGGCACAAGGATAGAAGATACATCAATGGAATAGAGAACTCAGAAAGATATCCTCACATATATGATTAAATGATTTTCAGTAAGGTACCAGGTTCATTCAGTGGGAAAAGGAAGTTATTGCAAAAAGTGGTGCTGGGAAAACAATCTTGACATGTAGAAGTATGAAGCTGGACCCTTACTTTACACCATATACAAAAATGAAATGAAAATGAGTCAAGGACTTAAACTAAACTACTCTTAGAAGAATACATGGAGGGAGGAATTTCATAAAATTGAATTTGGCAATGATTTCTTAGATATAACACACGCCCAGTCACCAAAAGGAAGAATAGACAAGTTTGACTTCAAAGTTAAAAACTTCTGTCCCTCAGGGGATACCATGAACACAGTGAAAAGGCAGCCCATGGAATTGCAGAAAATGTTTGCAAATCACATAACTGCCAAGGTGTTAATATGTAGAATATACAAATAAAATGCACTTGACAAAGTTCAACATCTTCACAATGAAAACACTCAGTAAACTAGGAATAGAAAGGAACTTCCTCAACCTGCTATAAGGCATCTATCAAAAACCCACAGCTAACATCACAGACCTAAGAACACCTTCATTTTCAGCACTGGCTAATCTCTAGGATCCGTTAGGCAGAAAGTGAAGGCGGAAGCAGAGTTTTAAGCAGCCTTGCTAAGTGTTAAAGAAATGCCACAGCCTAGAACTATCCATAAAAACTGGAAGGTGTGAGGTTTTTTTTTGAGATGGAGTCTTGCTCTGTTGCCCAGGCTGGAGTGCAGTGGTGCAGTCACTGCACCCTCCACCTCCCGGGTTCAAGTGATTT